TGCCCATGTCAGATTCTCCTTTCCTGTTTTCATTGCATCAATCAACTTCTAAGATGCTCCCATTTCACTCAACCCGAAAGAGGTAATGACAAAGGAACAAAGATGGCGAACGTCCACTAACCAGTCACAAGACTCTAGAGGAGAATTTTCCGTGACGTTTGTCGGTTGGTTAAAATAAGTATCATATTCCCAATTCCGATTGCAGGGGAGCTCGAATTGCTGCAGCTTTCTTGTGATTAATGCCGTCTTTAAACTACTTTCCACTTCCACTCCTTCCATCCTTTTTTTTTTCTTTGGTAATGAAACAACTGCAAACTCAGTGCATATATGTAGTTTGTGAGTGCATGGATGGATAAATTAAGGAGTCAGCAAAGTTTATCAACCCTTTTCAAACATGTTTATTTTGTTCGTTCACTATTCTTCTGACACTAGCAATCTTTTGGTTGAGCTAAACTGGCCGAATGTCTTATGTATAGTTAGAAAAGAAGAATCTCCATAAACTCATAGGTGAGCAAGACAGATACACTTGCGAAGTGGTGAAAGCATGAAGAGAACCAGCTATGAGAACAGATATAAATGAAGCCTTCTCCATGTCTGCAGAAAATAATTGGAAAATCGCAGAGACACCTATGTGCTATTTTCTCGAGAGGTTGAACGTATGTCGTTTCAATGAAGATGGGCGTCCAACTAGTACCACATGCAATCATCAATGCGCCAAAGTTTACGGTCCCGTTTGGAAGGTAAATTTCCTGCACTTGTGCACCCTGCCTATTAAAAATAGGCAAACGATAGAGAGGTGATTCAAACACGCAACGTTGAAGTCTAAAGAGGCTACTCTACCCCAAACTATCCGAGTCAATCCTGAGAGTCAAATATATTTATTTTTCAGAAAAAGAAAAGAAAAAAAGGAACATGTGACACCAAACAGTTGTAATTTCCACAAAACAGAGGGGTCAATTTCAAAGTATCAGATTCTCCATTGAAGCTGTGGAATCTCGTGAGGAACATGTGCCATCAAACAGTTGTAATTTCCACAAAACAGAGGGGTCAATTTCAAAGTATCAGATTCTCCATTGATGGAAAAGATGAGACGCCCATCAACAGTAGAGTGGGCTTGCGAGCGAGTGTGATGGCTTTATGTTTGTGCCGATACATCATCCTAAGCTGCCATCCTCGGCACCGCCATCAAGCCCTCTCTGCCACTGCAAGAAATAACAATTTCTCTTCGCTTTATTGTCCTCCAAATCACTGCCAAAAATTTACTTCTGCCCTCTCGATTGATCCTCGTCATCGTCATAAACGCTTCAGAGCTTCATTTTGTGCTCAATCATCATCAATCATGCAAAACCCGCCTCAAGGTTATAGAAGAAACGTTGGTATTTGTCTCATGAATCCCTCTTCTAAAAAGGTCTTCTCTTTGTTTCCATGTCTCCGTAATCCTACACAAATTTATTTATCTTTTTTTTTGTTTGTGTCAAGAAATGAACTTTTGGATTGTTGCTTGTAGATTTTTGCAGCATCAAGACTTGACATACCTGACGCCTGGCAAATGCCTCAGGTCGATCTTTTACTAAATTCATCTTATTCTTGGATTATTTTTTTCCCGCTGCGAATTGGTAAGGTCTGCTCCTGAAATATTGGGGAAATATGATACACTATCTGGGCTTATAGGATCTATTGGGATACATTACATATATCGATTGTATTATCATGGTAGTGCTTTATGTAGCTGGTAATAAGCAGCAGCAGGAGCATATATATGTAATTTGTTTACTGGTAACTAATGCTGCATCAGGTGTCTCTCTATTCTGATGATGTGCGAAGGTATAATAGTACAGAACTAAGCTACTAGCTGAATTTTGGGAACCTGCAATTTACTTGCAGTGCAGCCGAAAATGTTACAAGTTCTTCAACAGTAGCTAACATCCTTGTATTTAAAGACGGTAGAAAGTCATGGCTGAAGCCGGGATTTTACTTTTGCGTTTGAGCCTCAAGTGAACATGCTAACATTCTGAGGGGAAGAATGGTACTTGATGATGTAGTTTCCTAGAACTGTGGCACTAATTGAGCTCCATAGTGTTTTTCAGATCAAAAATTTGAAATCCGAGGACATTTTCTGAAATTCAATAATCATGTATGAAGTAATATATTTGTTCTTTCCCTGTGCTCTTTTTTATAGAGTGCTGATTTTCAATGGGTGACAAACTATCATCAAGATGAATTTCCAAGTCATCTAAGAGCTTAAGTGGAGAGAGTGAATAGATATTTAATAAGTTTATGCACTTCTAAGAAGAACGAGTGTAAGAAATAGATCAACTTTCTGTTTCTAGTTAAAAATGAGATTCACCTGGTCATTCTAATGTTTTGAATTTAAGAAATTCTCAATTGAGGTTACTTTTCTTGGTGTCTCAGCTGATGTTTAGTACTAGACTGTCTAGTAATGTGACTTTTACTTATCTTGAAATCCTCGTGCACAATATAGGACATAATTGATTCCTGGCTGGATTAACAGGGAGGGATTGATGAAAGTGAAGATCCAAGAACTGCAGCTGCAAGGGAATTGAGAGAAGAAACAGGAGTTACTACAGCAGATATTGTTGCTGAGGTGAGTTCCCTTTTGAAATGCTGAATTGATTTTTTTTTTTCTATCTCTACACTTTGGGTTAGAAAAATGATTATCTGCATTTTTGGCATATATGAAGCTGCCATTATGCATTTTCTTGTCTTCTACGGATTCTCTTCTTGTTTTTTGGTCGCATAAAAATTTCTGCATATGCATTAACAAGGTCAAATTTGGCATTCGAGTCCACATGCAGGTGCCTTATTGGTTGACTTATGATTTCCCTCCAGCTGTGCGGGAGAAACTAAATCGTCAATGGGGATCAGACTGGAAAGGTCAAGCTCAGAAATGGTCAGTTCACCTATTTCCTTGTTTACTGATAAATTTTTTGCAGTAGCAAGGCTTCACCTTTTACCTAGTTTGAGACTACCTATCATTCCTCCTCTCTTTTTGGGGGTGCTTGGTGGGGGTTGAAGTAGGTTTATGAATATTAAGAACTCCTGCGTGCAACTTCTTAAAGTTGTTGGGGCCAAAAGGGTTTCCAAGCTTGAAAATCTGGCTGCTTGTCATGATAAAAAAGTAAAGACATTCAGAAAAAAGAAAAAGAGTTGAGAGAATCAAGAAAATCTGCCCATGCATGAAGTTAAGTGGACTTCAGGTTTGTACACTGAGTTGATTAAAGTTTCAGTGGGGGTGGGTGGTCGAGGTGGAGAGGAGATAGCTGCTGCTTCATATAGCTAAATGCTAGTAACTTCATGGTAAAGGGAGGTTTTTCTTGATCTGTATTTTCCAGCATTATGGGTTTACTGTGACACTTTAGCGTGCTAGCATCTTAGATTTATTCAATGGATTTGGCTCAGGTTTCTTTTCAAATTCAATGGAAATGATGATGAAATCAATCTTTTGGGTGATGGTACTGAGAAGGCTGAATTTGGAGAATGGGCATGGATGTCAGCAGAACAAGTAATTAATCATGTAATTGCCGCTCAACTCTCTGTACTGAAACACTTCCAAGCACTTTCTTTTGTCTTTCCTAGAAAAATAAGACTTTTACCTTGTCTGAAACTCTTCTTTGCAGGCAGTGGATTTCAAGAAACCTGTTTATGAGGAAGTTTTGTCTGTTTTCTCAACATATCTGCAGTAAATTACTGAAGATTATTCTTTTAGTGGACGTGCAAATTTACTGGACTTTTTCAAGTGGAAATCATGCAGCAGCATCTTGTCAAAAGCTAAAATTTATGACTCTAATGATTATGTTTTAATTCCGAACTATTGTCATACGGATCCACAGGTTCAAAGTACTTCATTTTGCTTGGATGTGTTAATGCATATTCTACAAGTTCAAGGACAGTATCGACAAAGTTGTTATAACTCGTAAGAAGGAAGCTGCCAACGTTTTGCAGCCTGTTTATATTCGGAGAGGGAATCAAAGCTTGCATGGCATTTGCGGATACTAGACTGCACTGATCAAATACATCACATTGAGAAAAGTAATGGATGACTTGACAGCATTACAAATTGTCTCTAAATTTTGCATGGTGTCTGTGTCGTGCTTAGAGGTTGAACGAGGGGGAAAGTTTGTGATGTGTCTATCTCTTGGCAATACTTCGTTCTCATTCAAAAACTTATCTTGCATTGGCATAGGATGTTTCAACTAACCTGATATCAAACTCTGCTTAATTTTCCTCTTAATGCTTTCATTTTTTGTGAATTTATCATTGGCTTTATTCTGGTAAATAACTAGCTATTTATGGCACCCATCGGCCCCATCCTTCTTTTTATAAAAAAAAAATATACGCAATCCCCAACCTGCCAGGCCAGGGGCCGTGGCTAGCCTCCTTGCTACTGTTTCTTTTCCTTCAAGTAGTTAAGCATTCAACAAGGTTAGAGTCCGAGTCCAAACTAGTAAAAAAGGTGTTTTTGACAAAAAAAAAATAACAGGAGGACTTCTGGAGCATTAATTAACAGAAGGGGTGTTAATGAATTTAATGAATATGCAGCACACAGAGTCTCAATGAGAGAATCAAAGATAGAATGCTTCTGAAAACTACAAGAATTCCTGCACAGCACATTATCAGATATCAGCCCTGTAAGGTAAAAATGAGGGAGTACCAAACTATCTGGATGCGAGTGCGCTGCCTGTGGAGGTTGGTTCAGAGAATGCCAGCTGAGATGGTTCCAGGAGAAAATCCTTTATGAAAGTTATCCTATAGGAAGTATGACAGAGAACGGAAATGGCCTTAGTATCCAAATTATGCGGAATGACAAGAATGCCAAAGAAAATATTGGTTAGAAATTGGGAGAACCCATCTCAGATGATTTCTCAAAAAACAATGTTTCAAAGATTCGACTCAAAGAAACTCTCTTTGCTTATGTATTGCTTGTCCTAGTAACTACTCGATGTCAAAAATAGTACAGTATTTAACTACAGCCCATGAGCAGAACAGAACTACAAATGCACGTTGTCACGCTAAAGTAAGTGCTTTTCTCTGTATTGTTGGACCAGCAAAAATCCCTCTGAGGAAATTTTGCGCATGTACGTACATAATCACATTGTCATCGGGAAAGCCAGCAGGTCAAAAGGCCTCAGAAGCAAATCAAAGATGATCACATGAACCTTTTGTATCTTCAATAGTTCTCATCACTCTGAGGAAATTTTTGTAGAATCATTCAGTCTGATGTGAGAGACTCAGCTTCAGCATATGGTGTTACTTTACTAGCTCTAAATATTGACTAAAACATACAAAGACCGATCAACGATAATTGTTTAGGAGGCTTCTTTACAACTTGCCTCTGCAAATTGTTTCCTCCAATTTTGAGTAAATATGGTTCTTGTTTATTGTTCTCGGAACCCGCATTTTCCTGGTTTCTTGAAGTCCCTGATTTTGATACAGCTCTGTAGGCTATAAACAGATACACCTGCAACAGAGTGAATATGAAGAGCGGAATCAAACAGAGCCACTAACATCATCATTCTCATAATAAGACAAAATGGTACCTTGCATAACTTGTGGATCAGACTTCCGCTTCCTAATTCAACCTCCATCATTTGCAGAACCTTTTCAACCTACCAAAAAACAATAAATTCATTATACTAAATGAATAAAGACATTGTTGCCAGGAGTGCAGCCGGGGTTGGGTAGTTTGTGCTGAGAAATGAGTTCATGCAGTGATTCATGGAAGCCCAGAGCACACAAGTTTCACCACCATGTGCACCATGAAATAAAATTACACATGAACTTGGTACTACTGTGAAACTCAACAATCAAGGTATGCCAAATGATCAGTGCAAGACAAGCTTTTAAAAAATATTCAAATTTGCACCCCTTCAATCTAATTGTTGGTTATTCTTCACTAAACGAAGTAATATTTGGAGAGGATTGCTCAATGCAAACATTATCGGATGATCATAAACCTGCCTTATAAGATCAATAAGAGGTTCTAAAAACACAAAATGTGGTGGTAAATGCAGGGTATAATGCTGTTATTCCATCTACCGATGACGCTTGACTGCCAATATTTTAGATACACATCAATTGATGTGAAATGATCCACATTGGTAGACAGTCAGTTTCTAAAGAGATGCATGTATTCATGAATTTCACTTATTTGAAGACAAAAGCATGGACCATTTTCTTATGAGCAAGTGGGTCCCCTTCCAAAACCACAAGTATGCGCCCTGCCTCACTTGAAGGCATGCTAACAACTCTTTCATTTTTCCAGCCCTGCGAGTCAAATTTTTAGCTTACTACAAAACTGGCAGAACTAAACTTCATCATGAAAAGCATTTCCCAAAGAACCTTGAATTTGATGCCATGAGGGTAGTCCTTATGCAATTCCTTGTGAAGCTTTTCATCTGCCTCATCCCCACAAGCATACTTCACACCACAAGTAGAGCAAGTATGAAGAAGAAAATCTGACTGCCCCAAATCCAGGTGAAGTTGTGCATAACGTCTCTTAACATTTAGGACTTTGCTTGAGATAGTGGTGGATGGCATCTGGACACCTACAGTCTTGGGAGCATTTACAACACTGTGACTGCCAGTCTCATTGTTACTGAAAGATCAAAATGCCAACGTCCTGTTTATTTAACCGTTAAACACTGCAATGATTCTGATTACAAAAGACACAACAAACATCACTTTTCCCATGCTCATTTGTTGATGACATGCTAAGTAGAAGAGGAACTAAAACCTCCTACAAAAGGAATGGAGTTGATAAGCAAAGAAGTTTATTATAGTGCTGTTGATAAACTTTTATGTATACAAAGGAGAAAGATTTGGGCATTGTATAGAAGGTATCTATTGTGGCTTATTTTGATACATTTTCAACACTGATTTGAACAATATAGTTGATCAAATGAAGGGCTTATTTTGATTCTTAAAGGCAGCAAAAGATTTCATTGCTTAATCTATTGGAACAGCAAATCATACATTTGACAGTTTACATTGTCTATTCAGTGAAACTGTATAATATGAACCATGATTCTTCAGGAGACATGCACCTTAACACTGCAGAATCCATACAGGTGTTAATAACACTGGGTTGAGATAATAATCTAACATTTTTATAATGCTAGATACCAAATTTTGAATGGGGAAATAATGGACAAAAACCAGGAGGGCTCCAAGGGTCAAAAGAGAAAAATAAATTTTAAAACTGTGTGATCGTATTCTACATAATTATGGAAACCAATGAACTAATTAAAATTAAACGGGTTGGCGAAGAAATTCCAAACAAACAAAATGAGACAGAAGAGAAGAGCAATAACTGATAAAATACAGAAATTAACAATGTATCTCAAAGAGAGAGAGAGAGAGAGAACCAAAAATTATACGCAGAAAAAAGTAGAAGCAGACCTTGAAATGGTTGTTTTGGTATTACTAGTTTCAGAATTGAATGGAGGAAGATTTTGGGTAGGGGTTATGGTGGATGATGATGATGGGTTTTGGGGCTTAAAGAAAGCATTTATCTTAGTCTGCATAAACTGCGCTGTTTTTTGGGTATCCGATTTGCGAAAAGATGAAAGCTAAAACCAATAGGCATATTGCCAAGGAAGAGGGGAAAAAAGAAAGGAATGTGGAAGCTGGGAATTTCTCAGGCGAATAGGGAGAGTACCGATCTACCGACGGAATAACTTCCCGCCAAGAATTCAATTTGACAATGCATAGTATTACTATTAGGGCCTGGACACTTGTGAGTCCCTGAATTTTTACCAAACTTGTGGCCCATTCTGGGTTGCATCCAGAGTAGGCCATGACCTAACATTTTCCCTCAGAGTCAAGGAGAGGCCTCTTTGCATTTCTGGATATTCCATTCTAGACTGACATGGGTATAATTCGGGCCTGAAGGCGGATCAGGCCCATCACAGTTCTGATAGCCTAAAACAGTTCCAATTTGGATCTCCCTATTTGCCTTGCTCATATTGTCCCAATTTCGTCTTATTTGATAACCCAATTCAGCACGTAAATTTAATGGATTCAAATCTTAATATATTAAACCATTTAATAATAAAAAATTAAATATTTAAATTACTTAAGTAGTACTAAATTTTCTAGACAAAATTTGCTCCTAAAATTAAATAATAAGCTATTCACTTATCACTGAATGTGATATGCACTCAAATGTATTAGATCTAATGCTTAACAATTCAATAATTTAATGAATTAAAACTTCATATTTCAAATTTCAAATTTTAGTTTTCAGACTTCAGTTTTATCAAATGCACCGCTCTTATTGTTTGATCTAAGACGTTGTTTAATAATCTAATTCAATACTTAAACTTAATCGATTAAGATATTAGTATGTTTAGACGTGCTTGATAATAAAAAATTAAACATCTTAATTAATCAAGTAGGTTTGAATTATGTAGGCAAAACTTACTCCAAAAAAATAAGTTATAAAATTATTCATTTATCACTTAATGCATAAATGCGCTCAAATTTTAGGATTACAAAATATTTACACTTCAATAAATTGGTGGATTCATATTTCAATTTTCAATTTTATCTAACGTGCCATAAGATTCATCAACATAACTTTCGAATTAACTTGTACAATCACTGCTATTTCAAAGATACGATCCATGTTAATTGTTTAACACTAAATAACTAATTGGAAAAATCTCCTTGAACCTTTCCAAGTGTACTCGCAAAAAACTATCAATTCGTGATTAAGAAGGATCATGTACGGTTTACTAATGACATTCCAAGTACTTTTTTTTTTCTCTCTTTTTTGAAATCATAATTCCACATGGTACTCAAACTAGTGGGTGAAGCACCGCACACCCTGTGTGTGTGTGTGTATTTTAGGGAAAAAATAAATAATGAAAATGATACAGAATAGCAAATTAGTTGGAGCAAAGGAATTAATTATAGAGTAGTAAGATTTTCCGGTTTCTTGATTGAAGTTGGTAGGAAGACTTGGGATAAATATGATGGTAGTGAACAAATACAAAGGTAGCAGTAAACACGTGGAAAGTGTCATCATATATGGAAAAAATTAAAATAAAAATGATGACAGATTTTCTTTTTTTTTCTTTTTTTTTTTCATACGAACGCATAATTGATTTTTTTTTTTTTTTTTTTTTTTTACGAAACGATAAGATTTTCATTGACTAAAGGAAACTGTACAAAGCGAGCAACGGCTCGAGAGACTTTACAACTAATGCTCAATTGCACTGAGGAAAATACCATTCCTCATTCAGAGTAATGCCTAATGCATAAGAACTTAAACTTTTACATTTAGATATAATACTTCCCCTGGCTAGCTCAAAAGAGCACATACGAAACATTCTCTGTAATTCAATAATGTCCTCAGTCAGAGTTGTTAGACAACTGTCTAGGGAGCTCGGATTCTTGAGCTGTCTTAGTAACTCTTTGTTCTGGAGCAAAATATTGATTTTGTCCCAGTTCTGCTCCAAAGCTTTACACAAGACCAGTTTGACTGCTGCTGCATCATCAAGAAGCTTGGTTCCAAGTGATCTCTCCTTTAGAGCCCATTCTGCAATCCTTGTGTGCGAAAAGGTCTCAGCTACGACTCCAATCCCAGTTGACAATTGCCTTTGCCGACTAGTTGAGACCACGTGTAGTGCTATGGACTCCTCATCTTCAATCTCCTGATGGTGTACTGACTGAGTAGAAACTGTTTCTCCTGTGCTCATTCTGTCCTTAGTTTTCCTTAGTTCCTCTAGTTCTAGCCACTCCTTCTGCATAGATACTCTGTGCATAGATATTTTCACAACTAGCATTTTAAATTATTGCCTCGCAACGTGGGCGGAGGATCGAAAGGCCTTGATAATGGGGATGACCTCCCATCCAACAGCAATTCAAGTTCCCCGTGTGGTTGAGGTATAGTATTGTGGAATGTACGTATTTGGTTTCCGCTTTCCAATTTGGGGTTGGATATGGGCACTTCACCTGAGAAACCTCTGGTGTTGTTATACTCCCTCCGTCCCGGTTTTTTTTTCACACAGATTAAGAAAGTGTAATTAATTTGGTTGGAAACATAAATTTAGATTAATAATTTCCTAAAATACCCTTATGCTAATCACGAAGAGTGCCAATTAATATCAGTTACAGCTAATGGTGCCAATAAATATCAGTTACCGCCAATGGTGCACCCTGATTGTTTCAATTACCACCAATGGTGCCAATAAATAACAAAGATAGACTTTTCATTTATCTATGTATTGGAAAAGCTCAATGTATTCAATGTAGTGGGTTAGTATTTAATAACAATGTATTAATAACAAGATATTTAATAAGGGTATTTTAGACAATTTGAAAGATTACTACATTCCTTAATGGGAAAGTGGACTACAATTTGGGACAGACGAAAAAGGAAAACAAGACTAACAAAACGGGACGGAGGGAGTATTTTTTTTGGTAAGAATGAAATTAACTCAGAACACGCACAGAATCCTTAGTGTCACTTTTTCAGTGGTAATTCAGTGTCACTTCTATATTTATGTCAAGTGTCCTATTTATTTGATTTGTCATGTGCTGTTTATTTAAATTTCTTCTACCATCACATGATAAGTGAAATTGACACTGAATTTGACACTGAATAGTAGCATAGAGGATCCCAACTGCTTAGAACAGTGTCTAAATAATAGGGCAAGAAATGTGATCATGCATATTTACATAATAAATTAGATATAATTTATGGCTAGCAATAAAATAATTTTTGAACTATTTTTATTAGAGAAAATTATTTATTAATCTTCAAAACACTTAGGCGCCCCTTCCCTTCCTTTGCATTATTAAATGAAGTTTTATTAGATTTTTTTGAGAAGTGCTAATATCATTTCCCTTCTTATTCACGTGGCAAGATTATCCTCAATCAGTTTACTCCATATATTCTTATTGATTTTTCTAGATCCATTAAGCACTAATTACTCATCTTCTCCTCTATAATTAAATTTTTCTCCCGTACTCTCTCTCTCTCTCTCTTTCTAACGCTAACTGGGAGAGTAAGTGAGCATAGGAGAAAAAATTAATTAGATAGAGAGAAAGAGAAGTAATTAGTGGATAATGAACCTTAAGAAAATTAATGAGAATATATGGAGCGTGTGATCTTCTTTTTATGTATATAAATTTCTTTCTTCCTTTTAAAGGAAAGGTTAAATGGCAATATGACGTGCAAAATCTTGCAACAAAAATCTGGCGGATACCCTCGTTCAAGTCACTTGGAAAAATTGATATGGAGCAAAAATCAGGCATGATTCAATCCTCTGAATTATGGAGTTTCCAAGCAGAGATGAAGTAGATAATGTCTAACAGCTGATACACGTCGAGCTGAGTCATCCACTGTGCTACAAATTCTAGTTCAGGAGTTGAAGCTTATGAAATTCTTGGATAAGGCCTTCTTTTCTCTTCACTATAAATAGTCAGCTTCAACAATGGCGCATAGGTTCATTGCAATAGTGCTTCTCTTACTCTCTGTTGTGCACTTTTTATCATTGAAGCAGAGATGACTATCAACGCCCAGCAACATAACCATGGTATCGTGTTTTTAGATATTTCCTCTTTTTTTTTCGTTGTTTTTTTGGGTTACGTTCACTCTTCCCTTTCTATTATCAGGGTCTGAAGTAGAGGATAAAAAGACAGATTCCGTCGCTGATGATCTCTTCTCAGACAGTGGAGTCGTGGTTCCAAAGAGTGCGGCAAATGATGGATTTGTTGTGCCTGGAAGCAATGCATTTGGCAACTCATTTAGGTAGTTGCTTTCCGTAGCTGTTGTTAATCATATAAATACGATCTTTGACCATAGAGGTATTCTTGATTCCCACAAGAATGATCAATTTCATGACATAAATTGTCTTGCAGGGATTATCATGCAGAAACCGAAAGGAAGAAAATAGTTGAAGAATTATATCGACTCAGCCACATTAACCAGACCTATGACTTTGTAAATAACAAATTACAGTTCTTCAGTTCTTCGGCTCCTGTGGTGATATCTTACTTGTTCATCAGCCGCTGTCTTTTTCGCTTTTGTTAATACTTAATGCAGGTGAAGAAAATTAGGGAAGCTTATAAGAAAATGGACAGGGTGGAGATGAGCATATGGGAGTGCTGTGAACTGCTTAATGATGTCGTGGATGATAGTGATCCTGACTTGGATGAGCCACAGATGGAGCACTTGCTCCAAACTGCTGAAGCTATCAGAAGAGACTATCCAGATGAAGATTGGTTGCACCTAACTGGCCTAATCCATGGTATCTACTTTCTTTATTTACCAAGACCTAAACAAGTAAAATATTTCAACTCCTCAGATTAGTTCTTCCAAAACATTCTCACCGTTTTCTCAATCTCCTCGCCCAAAACTTCAGACCTCGGCAAAGTGCTTCTCCTGCCTAGTTTTGGAGGGCTTCCACAGTGGGCTGTTGTGGGTGAGTGTTTTCTTGGTCCACACAAAGATGGCTTTCTTATTAAATCTTAACAAGAACTTTCAACTCATAGGCATGCATGCAAATTCTGTCCTGCAGGTGACACATTTCCCCTCGGCTGTGCATTTGATGAGTCAATCGTTCATCATGAGGTCTGCCTTCTTATGGCCAAATGTTTTTACCTCTACTAC